GAAAAAAATCAGACTGAAAAGAGACAATTATTTTACTGTCTGTTCCTTAGATATCAGAAAGAATTTTGAAATTCATCAAAGCTAACCTTCTGTTATGTACAACAGGCTAAGCTGAAAAGAATGTTAACAAGTTCAATTTTCATTCAATCAGCACTACTGCTCTCTGAAATGTTTCATTGCAGGAAAGAAATAAAAATAATCTATATGGTAATTATGAGGATGAATCCCCCAGTAACTTTCAGCTACATGAAAGGTCAGTTCTATTCAAGATATTTTATCAGTCCCCTGCACATACTCCTGTCCTGTCATTTTAAATCTGAACAGCATTTTATTTTCCCATTTACAGCTACCTGCAGAATTAAGTACTTAAGCCAAATAAGAAAAAAAAAAAAAAAAGAAGAAAAAAAAGAAATGTTGAATGCTGGCAAAGGCTATAATAGCATGGAGATAAATCGTTCAGCTGCTCTCTCTCAAGCCTCTGGGGCTGCAGATTTTTCTTCTCCTGGTGCACTGTGGGTATTCAAAACTTGTTCAACATGATTTCATTTCATTTCAGGCACTGCCTGAGAAAACTAAATTACAGAATCAATCATACAGAAGGTCAGAGTGAGACTTCATTACAAGTATTGCATGCTTGCATGAATATCTTTCATTTATGACTGACCCAATATGTCACAATAGCTGTCTAGTAAAAATAATCCACTTTCTGAAATTGATGTACTACTGATGTCAATGCTACTCAGCAGGCTGGGCAGATTAGAGAGAGGTGTTAAAGAAAGGAACCCTCAGGAGCACAAGTTGTAGTTTTATAGAATTGCCACAGTTTGCAGATTAAAATAATTTTTCTACGGGCAGCTCAACAGAAAACAGAGCGTTAATAAAAAATATTGAGAGTTGATTTTTAATGAGGCTATCGCTGTTGATTTCCACTTACTTATATTCAAGTATTTGTAGGGATAACATTTGCATCATGTAAATCCATGTGTTCTTTGAAGTCAAATGTACATCAGCACACCATTTTTCAGTGACTCAGTTTTTGAGCATCAGGATTTTATTTGCATCTCATTAAAATATGAAAATTAATCAAACTGCCTCCATTTTATCTCCACTTTTTTGTTGCCATTGTCGGTTTCTAAATGTAGAAAAATGCTGTTGAACAAGATAAATGTGTTGTGTTTGTTGCCAATAATAATGAAGTTAATCAGCATTGTGACAAATTGTCACACTTTCCACAGTGTTATCACCGTGCCTGGATCCAGCTCCTGCGCATCAGAAAAACCCCTGCCTTGTCCTTAATAGCATGAACAATTGTTAACTCATCAATACAATCTTTTTATAATTGCTAGGCCACCTTTGTTCTGAGAATAATGTTCTTGCACCATGAATTATTTTTTCAGTATATTAGGACACAAAGAATACGTTAGAAAGAGAATGATCTCCTTTTTTGTGTGCGTCTTCCTGTGGTAAGTATGCGAGATACTTGCCGAAGTATTACGAGGTAGCTCGCCAACTCCATACCCTAAGGGAGACACAGGAGAACCTTGACATAACCTATTTTTAATCATGCCTCTGGCAATTCTGCATTCGAGTTTATAGGTGAACATGTCAGGTAGTACATAGAAAAAAGCCAAAGACACACAGTATTAATCATAATTCTGTCCAAGCCCATTTTATTTTTTCAACGTTTGCGATTTAAAATCTCATGACATTTCTTCAAGGTGAAATTCTTCTACTGGACTTTTCGACAGGGTAGGACTGCATTTATCTAAATTAAATACTGCTTACAGTAAAGCTCTCCAACACTTCACAAGATAACCAATAAACTCAATGCAGTTCATATTAAAATAATTTAAGTTTGGATTCAGCTAAAGAAGCTTTAGCGATTAGCAATACAGTATTAATACAGCCTTTAAATAAGACTATCCTAGTATCACTGGATAAGAACATTGTTCTGTAAGTGTATACGAACGTCATAATTATTTTACAACCCCATCTTTAGTTCTTTCAGATATAGTAAATTCAATTGACCATGAAATGAAATTTCATAGTCAAAATGCCTCCTTTACATTTTTTTTATTGCCGCAATAAAGTTTTTATAGCTCCAAGGCAAGGTAATTCATGAAATGTATAATTTAAAGATGAATTCTAATATTATTAATAAATATTTACCAGTTCAATAAAGTGCACATTTTTCCACATAAAATATGATATAATGTTTTCATTTTCTATTTTTGAAATACAGATTAACTGCTGGAAAATTTGAGTACTGAAGAGAGCTACGCAAGTTCAGGGGAAACCTATGCCAGAACCCTCTGTTAATGTTTTCAGGCTTCCTGATGCTCCCCAGCATTTATGAGCAGAAGAGAAGTTGACTATTGACTGAAACGCAATGGCGGGGATAAAACGAACCAGGCAGTTGTGGGGAAGCTCTGACACACAAACCTCCCTACGTGGCTCCTCCGTATCAAATCTCACGATTCCTGCAGCAAAACTACATGCAAGCGCCCAACGTACAGCTCTGAGGCGGCAGTCACCCTGAACATGCCACTGGGCTACTGGGGTAAGGAGGCACGAGCTTCTCTAGATCTTCTCTTGGGCGTACACAGGAACAAATCCTTACTATTGAAGCCAGTGTAAACCATGGCATTAATTTCTACATTGCACAGTCTAGGAAAAAAAAAGGAAACGCTGTAAAGCCTCTTATCTGGTGGCAGAAGATGTGAGAGAAAAGATACCTAACTAGGAGGCCTCTACTGGTTGCAGCTATTATGGTAACAGCCACAATCAGGGAAAGGACACAAAATTAAAAGGCAAAGCTGGGTCAGGTTACAGAGCCCTTGATACCACTGAGGGGACACTCATCCACCCAACACAAGACTGATCCAGCCCACGATACTTGTTACAGTTTTCTGAGCAAGTTTCATTGGATTCAGTGTGTACACACTCCATTACTTTAGATTTCAGGCATAACATTCCTGATGCTCAGGTGTTATTAACCTGATCTTTCTACAGTAGCCACCCAACATGTCCAAGTGCATGCAAAATCCCACGCAAGATGGGATCGGAAAAGAAATATCAAATCCTTCAAGGCCCATTTTAGGCAATCTCTGCTTTGCATCTATGGAATTACTGAAGTCTGTATTAGCTCCAGCGACTCTTCATGACTTCAAAGGAAATATTAAATGTTAAAAATTGCAACGAAGACAGCAGCCTGCAGAATTCCAGAGAAATATTTGCTGTGTGTTGATTTGTAAATCTTCAATTAATTTTCATTTGCCAGAATAAGAAAAAAAGATTTACATGAAATCATAACATGACAGCACGATGACCTTTATTGAAGTCCAGCAGTAAATCTGTATTTTCACTACACCAAGTCTAGCAAAAGGTCCTATGTAAAACAGCTAACCAGAAAAAAAATAAAGTTGATGTAAAATCTCTGTTCAAGCTAAACATCCACTCTGTCTTCAATATGCAATACAGAACCTAATTCTAATTGTAACCATTGAGTTTAAAACGCTAAGTATGATAAACTGACTCGCAGCTGTGTCTCATCACTGGGAACATGAACGTTCCTGCACAAAGCTTAGAGAAACCTATGCAGGGAGATCCCTCAGAGCTGCAAGGGAAATACAACAAGAGAGTGGAAACTGCCCCAGAAACCCACTGAGATCGCAGCCATGAAGCACGTATCGATTCTGGAGAAGACTCAATACACCTTTGGTTTTGATAGCTCTAATGAACAGGGATCACACACAGAATCACACAGAATCGCTCGGTTGGAAAAGACCTCTGAGATCATCATGTCCAACCGTTCCTGTCTACCCACTAACCCATATCCCTAAGTACCTCATCTGCCCATTTTTTAAATACATCCAGGGATGGTGACTCCACCACCTCCCTGGGCAGCCTGTTCCAGCCTCTGACAACCTCCTCAGTAAAGAACTTCCTCCTTATCTCTAACCTGAACCTCCCTTGGCACAGCTTGGTGCCATTTCCCCTTGCTCTCTCCTCCATCACCTGGGAGAAGAGACCAGCACCCACCTCTCTACAACCTCCCTTGAGGTAGTTGTAGGTGGTGATGAGGTCTCCCCTCAGCCTTCTCTTCTCCAGGCTAAACAACCCCAGTTCCCTCAGCCGCTCCTCATCAGGCTTGTTCTCCAGACCCCTCACCATCCTTGTGGCTCTTCTCTGAACTCGCTCCAGAACCTCAACATCCTTCTTATAGTGAGGGGCCCAGAACTGAACACAGTTCTCGAGGTGCAGCCTCACCAGTGCCGAGTACAGGGGGATGATCACCTCCCTGGACCTGCTGGTCACACTGTTTTTAATACAGGCCAAGATGCCTGTATATATATTTTTTTTCACTGTTGGCATGCTAAGTCTGGCTCCTTTTCTGAGCTCAGTAATGTGCTTTCAAAATATCCTGATGGCTGTCAGATGTGGGTCCTGTCTTTGAAACATAGACAAGCAATTCCTTCTAAATGCCAACACAACAGTCCTTCAACTCCCGATGCCACTGCCAACTGTGTAACACATTCCTGAACTTCAGCAGCACTTGGGATACCCATGATGCCAATGGATATGGGCTTCCCAGTCCATTCCTAAAATTAAAATTCTGTGTTTACAAACCTGACTGCTTCTTCACAAGAGATGTGTTCACACGCAGCACTGCATTGACCTGTACGCTAACAACCATGTTTATTTATCTTCCCGAATCCACCACTATTAAACCTGTAACCATTTGCCAAGCACCTCAGGGAACTGGAGAGTGCCATACTGCTGTTTGCTGTGTGACACTGACAACACGTGTCACTGTCCACACACAACACGCCTGCTCACAGTTCAGAGAGCTGGCAAACACTTGGTCCTACCACACCACCAAGAAAAATCACACAGATCTTCCAAGAGGCCAATTAAAGCTGATAAATGATACAATTCGACATTATTATCCTTTGACAGACAATATCAGGCAATGGAAACGTACAAAGAACCGGACCTACCATGTGCAGTCCGTTGCTGTGGATGACGCCGTCTTGCTCCACCAGATTTCGGGATATTGTAATAGAGGGAAGATCCAGGCTCTGGGGGGGAAACTGAGGCGTAAATTCATTTCCTTGAGCAGGCAGCTGGTCCCCTAAGCCCTGGAAGGGCAGCAGGATATCTGCCATTCCCAGGGCAGGGTCTGACTCAGGTGGGGGGGTAATGGGTGGGATTTCGAACTCCTCATCCCCAAGGCTCGGCGTATGGAATGTCTGCTGGAAAAGGACAGGACAAGGCAAACCACATTAGGGCACGCCACTCTCAGCGAACACCTTTGGACCTGCAGTCCAAACCTTGGTTTGTTCTCAAACGTAAACTCTAAATGCAACAAAACTCTTGAGTTTCGGATACTGAAGGGGTTTGCGGAACATTCTGATTAAAGATTTAAGTCTCATTATCATATGGCTTTCATGGAGTATCAGTATTAACGGTTTTTTAATGCACACTTAATTAGCAACATCTGTCTTTGTTGTTAGTCTGAATATCAGCTACATTGGATTTGCCTGTACAACAAATCGCCACTTCACTGATGTTAGTAAAATAGCAAAAACAGCTTACATCACTCTCATGCTTCATAAAATACTGATGATTTTGTAGCATACGCACATTAATTCAGCATTGACCATTTCACATCTTTTGTTTCCTTTTTATCCACTAATAAACATGAAATATTATAATTCTGGTCTTTATTTCTTTTCTCTTCCATCCCAAAAGTACAATGCACTCTTTTGAACAAGGGTTGCAATTTGGAGGAGACACACAAATAAAAGCACGAGGGCGATTACTGCAGCTCCCCGTGCTTTCTGAAGCAAGCCAGCTTTGTTTGAACAGTCGGTTTGTTACAAACTAAACACATGTTAAGATGCCTTGAGCAAAACACTTACTGCCAGTTATCTTCAGGGTTTGTGCGTGTTTGTACGTGTGCATGTGTCTGTCAAAGATAATCTTTATTCAAGTAGAGTTGGTATCTGGCTTCAACGTTGCTGACTTTTATTTGGGAAACAAATGAGCTGTGCTTATTCAAATTTCTTGTGAGTTAAATGAACTTTCATATATTATTTCAGGTCCACTGCTGCTTAATAATAGAAATTCAGTCCTTGAAATTAGGCCATTTTAAATGTACCCAAATCAGGACTGCCTTGATCAAATTGGGCAGTTGGCAATCCTAAAACAGGCATTCTTGTCTTGTTCTGGACGTGCAAGGCTGCTCTGGGATTTGTTTGTTTGCATTAGTTCAGGATTTGAGTTTGGGGGGGGCGGAATTGCTTTATGTATTATTTACATTGTTTGAAAGAGTGACTTAATGCCAGTTAATTTAAAAATTATATGTTCAGTGAAAGATCTCATTAACTGCTGCAAATTGTCATCCTTCAAACTGTTAATGATGATATAAATTAATAACTGCCTGAGAGAAGACGAAAACTGAAACACAAGACAAACCTTTGCTCGCCTATAGAACCTGTCAGCTGTCATTATTGGTCGCGCACCAGAAATGATGAGGTCCCAGCCTGCCACAGTCTGCAGCGCCGGCAGAGCCTGCTGAGACGCTGCCCACCTCGCTCGAGCTGTGAGACTGTAACTTAATTCTGGATGGGCCTTGGTTAGGGAGGCAGCCGACGTCCCCGCCGCTGCGCTACGAAAGGTGCAACTTTTTCTTCCTGGAGCTCCCAAACACAAAGGATGGATTGGCCAGGAGAAGTGGCTGGCTAATGAACATAACCCTATGGCTGCATTTGCAGTTATTTTGGCACTAATATGGTCTAGTAACAGATGCAACTGTAATTTGTGACTCATTTGCTACCCCATTACTGCTTAATGAAATCTAACATATCACATTAACAATACGGATAAACACTCATTCTTGATATGTGGCATTTGGCTGTTTTCATTACCACTGTAATTAACACTTGAAATATTATTTCAATAAATATTTAAGGTGCTTTAAAATGGGTTGTAGCAATCATGACAGAGACAGAAAACATAAAGCAAATGTGTGGCTTCTAAGCCTGAATGTGCTCTAGGATTTCACTCTTAAGGCATTATTTACAGGAATAAAACGGGCTTCTAGCTCAGCAGTGCTCAGACCCAAAATCATAGCGAGAAAGCTACGTTCACGTTAATGTAAAAACACCATAATTAAATACATTGTAATGCAGTAATTGCAAAGTTGGGTTCACTCTTTAATGTGAACACTAACACTTAATCGTATTTTTATTCCATGCTCAAGCAAAAGGGTTCAGTGAAATCAGTATTATTATAGTACATTTGAATCTCTCTTTACTTGACATATTCATGAGAGAGTAGTAATTATAAGAACTGGATTTTTTTCCCATTTAACAGAACAATTCTAGGACAGCTGTATAAAGATATAACACAGCTAGATAATAATACAATATTTTTCCTAGAAAAGTGGTATTCATCTTAATACTTACAGCTTACTACAAATGGGAGAGTAAATTGATGAATACCTTAACACTTTCTAAATGAGAATTTAATTCTCACAATAGAACTTGTCCAAATATGTATATATCTTTTTTAAAAAACATATAACAAACCTAAGATTGAGGATAAAATAGATGTAATCTAAAGAAGAAAGCAAGCCCCTTAGTGAAGTAGTCTTAAATCCAAATCACTGAGCTATTCAGCCTGTAAAAAGAGCTTGAATGGTATGCAATTTGGGATTTCAGGAAGGTGCTGTTATGACCAAAAGATGGTAGAACATTTGTGGGATTTATCTTACCAATCACATTTTTAAAAGTTATTAACTTTTCAAATATTTATATCTTACACATTTTTTAAAAAACTGTGTGCATGCTTAAATGCCATCTGTACTGAAATGTTCAAAACATTTGTTCCTTTTGATAAAAATGCAAATCTGGAGAACTGTTGTATCAACATATAACAGCCAATGTCTGACACGGTGAATTATCACAGCTGGAATTAAATTGTCTCTGAACAGCTGCTGGCAGCAGAGCTTTCATCAATGTTTGATTCAAATGTAGGAAAGAAATTCTACAGAAAGAAACATCATGTTGTCATTACAGATGGGGTTTGTGTTCATTATCACAAATAACACTGGAGCTAGTGCCAAACAGTATTTCCTTATCTAAGCGATCTTGCTGGGTAAAAAGAGATGGTGACCATTGTTATAAATGATTCATAGAATACGACGCTTAATTCTAACCTTCGTATTTATTACACCTTTCTGCTTATTTTCTCCCACATCACTTTTTTTAAAAGTACACAAACATACCTGTGACCGAGTCACCACTTACAGAATGTAAAATCAAGGCTGCCCAGTTTTCTAACCTTGCCTTGTGTTGACCAGATCATTTATGGCACGCGCCCTACGTAAATACTTTGTGCTTGTTCTCCATATTGCTAGGCACACCACTAGACAGGGCATTGTGCACTTTCTATCCTTCCCTTTGGAATAACAGCCGTTGAGTTTCAGGCACGAGGAAAGGTGTTTTTGTCTGGAGTCACGGTGGTTGATAAGCACGTTGATAGCTTATCCACTGGCTGTACAACGGCCCCGCTGTCACGGACCCGGTCGTTGCCATACCTTCCTCCCGTTCCCATTCTCCAGGGCAGTGACCAAACACGTCACTTCCACAGTGCAGCCAGCCCCACCACCCCGGCCACTGCGCTTGCTCTTGATCCTGGTTAGAAGTTTCCTTCATGCAGCACATACACTTAGGCAACAAAGGTGGGCTTGGTTTTCTAACTTATAGGAGTATTAAGAACCCAAATCAAAATGTTTGTGTCTGTAACAGAAATTAGCACATTAGCTAGTAATGACTAGTACTAAGCTTGCCTTCCAAGTGTACACCTACTGTGCTTTTTATTTGTTTCCTTCTGTTCATAATTTTTTTCATACATAGAGTAGATTTGTTTCTATTGACATGCTATGTAAGTAACAGCCTTATGGACAGCTAAATTGACTAGCAATGGAGAGCCGTCAGGTTATTTTCTTTCTCATTAAAGTCTTTATTTTGTGCTCCATAAACCACACAGAAATTCAGCACTTTACTCTTCATCCATTCAAAGTCTGTTAAATTATCACAGCAAACAGCAGAATACGAGCATAGATAAAAAAGAAAACCATCTACCTCATTTGCAGCAAGAAATGCATTATTTGCCTCTGCCATGTTCATGTAGTTGTTATTGTTTCCAAACTGAAAGAAAAACAAATATTTGGATTTTAATGTATGCCACGATAAACTTTTTTTTACCCTACCACTGGCATAGAAAAAGTTGAAAAAAAACCAACAAAAACAAAACAACAAACAGGAAAGATGCAATTTTGCAGAAGTTCTCTGAATTCAGAACTAAGATTGGATTCAACATCATCATTATTATTATTATCATCATCATTATTACATACTCTGCATCCCTAGGTCTGTACCTGGAAGATATCCAAACATATATCTTCAACTTTCATGGTCTATGTCGCAAAGCCACCCCACAGACCTAGAGGTGAGTTTGGAAATTTGCCATCATTAGAAAGACACTGTTCTCCAGAAAAGACACTTCGACTCTACTCCATCTTTCCTGACACACATTATAATATTTCTGTAGACGATCCTGATCCGGAGGACTGCTGCAGCTAGAAGGAGCTGGTGCGTTACTATTCCAAGTAGACCTGGCTTTAAAGAGATGAAGGTCAATAAGGTGAAGAAAGAGAATCTGCAGCGTTGGTCTTCAAATCCCATTCTTTCCACAAAATTAAGAAACTAAACAATCACCCTTTGTTTATTCTTCATTCTAGTTGAGCTCCCAAACTCCCAGTGAACATGAACACCAGAAGATTTCGCAAATCAGAGAAACTGTATCACACTGAGGCCTTGAGCTCGACCCAGAGTGGAGGGGGCTGAGTGCCTACCCACTCCCACCGAGGTGCAGCTCCTCTCACACATGAGCCATCTGAAAGGATGCTCTCAAGTCACTTCCTCCAAATTCTCAAGTAGGAACGTTTGCTGAAGAAGAAAAGCACTTTTTTATAGACTGAGCATAGGAAAGAAAGAGGTTACCAACATTTAGTTGATTGGCACTTGGTGCGCCTTAAATGGCACTGCCAAAAAGCAGGTAGTTTGGTCACTATTTCTGCATGTGTTCCTGGACCAGGCAGGCATCTAGAGTCAGATACCATGCATGGCACACAGTTACCACTAAATCATAGGCTTTCACATCTTCATACATCTATTATCAGGCCCAGCGCACACTGCAAAGGGTATCAGATGAGAGAAAAGGCCCTGTGCTGTCCATCACTGCTGCTAAAGCCACACCAAGCATTCTTCCCTTAACTCCCATTTTCAAATTTGGTAAAGCAATTTTTTTCTGGAAGGCTTCTCTTATCTTGCCAGATCTTGGTGTACCTGCTCCCTCCAAAACAACAGCAGCAACCACCACCACCAGCAGCATAAGCTCTGCAACAAGTGCAGGAGGCTGGGAAGCCACACACTTGCACAAGTCACGTTTTCCAAGCAAGATACTCTGCTGTGCTTTCAGAGTTGAACCTGTCCTGAGAGGAAAACCACTTTGCTCCAACCCAACTCCCTACCGCAGTATGCGGTGCCTGCCTGTTAGCAGGGAAGTGATTCAGACCCTAGCTCTCTCCAGTTCCTCCAGCATCCAGCAGAGGGTCCAGGATGATCCTTTTAAATGAGGCTCTTTCCCCTGAAAATCCAAAAATCTATTTCTGAATATAAGCCCAAAAGCTAAAAGGAGGAGGGGGGGGGGGGGTTTTTTTTATACTGATAGGGAAAGAAAAAGGGGAGGCGGACACAAAGAATTGGAGCCTCATGTACCTGACAAATTGTCTGACTGACAAAACAGGACATGAACCAAATCAGAAGACAATCATGGGGAGGAAGGAATATGAGATGAGATTCTTCATTCTGAAGTATGAAATTCCATTTGTGTACTTAACATGCTGAATCTTTCAACCTATAACACATGTTAAGCAGCAGAGGCCTTAACACAATATGTAGGCTGCCTCATAGCTATTAAAACTCTGTTATCCCCAGCTATGCAGATACTCAAGTAATGTCATCCATTTTTTAAAATCCCAGATGTCACCCATTTTTGGAGATTAAAAAAATTCAAATAGAATTGCACATTCAAATTACTGTTTTGGCACATAAGGATGTGTGTGTGTGTGGATTTGTTGCACAAAGACATAGTACTTCAGCCCAACTGCAAGATCGACAGGACAGATTTTTTTTCATGTCAGTTATTGGCAAACTAAGAAGGATTTACATGAAAAACTCAAGTGGCTCCAATAGAGCTGTTCTTTTTACAGCAACCAAAAAAAAAAAAAAAGAAAAGAAATCAGGTTTTCAAATGATACCTGAGTGCACAGGTACAACAGGCAAGCACAGCTCTGACACTGGATCCATCACTGGGAACAAACCTGACCCTACTGTAACGAACTGAGCATCCTAGGGGCTCCAGTGCCTCACAGCAGAAATGGAGCTGACTTGTAGCTTGAAGAGTAAAATCCTACCTTGTTTTCATCTACATGTATTCTTCACACCACAGCTACTGCCTTTCTGATTGCCAAGTGGGTTTGCTCCTTTTTGCTTTATTAAAATAAAACAGAGGGGAAAGCGACAACGTAATTTCCCTTTTTGTCAAGACCGTGGAAGCAAATGACGTAAGGAGGAATGTCAAAGTGAAATGTTGCAAGTGGATATCCTTAGGTACATTCTGGTCTTTGGCCACAATATTTAAGACCCTGTTGTGTATGGCTCGGGCACTGATGTCAGAACCTGGCACATTTAGGCTTTTGTTAGTATGGATCATAACTAATATTATTTACATTTATTTTTGTCTCCGAATTAAAATCCATTGAAGGCACACAACAATTATCAGAGAGTATTTCTAAGATTAAACTTGCTTCTTATCTAATGGCACCTATAACAACAAAAGAAAATAAAATGGTTATTATCCTAAGGACCTAAACAATTCAAAAAAACCAAATTAAGCTTAGAGTGAAATAAGAAGTGGGTTAGAAATCCTCTTCTGAACAGTTAGTCTGCGAATGTAATTACTGAAGAAACTACAGCTAATCAGCTGTGAATTGTATCCATTAATTAGTATTTGCCCTGGAGAAATGAGAAAAATCAGTAACAATGTTAACACTGCAATGCACTGATGAGTACTGAAACACAGGGCCCTCAGCATTTAGTCAAGCAGGTGGCTCCAATGGTCCAAGTAATTTAAAAAGCTCTCACCTGAAGTGCAGAGCTGGAATTACAAAGCACTTCTTGCATATCTTTGTATCTATATAAGGCTATAATTAATGGCTTTTAATTTAGAAACACTTTGTGATCAGCTGGGAACAGTTATAAAACATTCTAAATAGAACAAGGAGTTCTTGTCTATTTTAGTAAAATGACTTGGGAAAGATGTTTTTTGTGAAATCACTCTTGTTGCAGTCAACATTTTTCTCAATTTATTTTCTAAAAGATCCCTTGCTCAGACCCCTTATAAACATCTCCAAGCATTCCTAGAGTTGATAGCAGGCATCCAAATCAAAGGTGAGACTCTGCAGTGTGGCCCACCCAGGTACACTGGCATGGGGACCCAACCAGTTGGATTTCCCTGCGGCAGCAAGAGAGGACAACACAGCACCCAGTCCAGTCATCTTTTTGCTTTGTGCTGGCACTGGGATGCTTTGCAAACCATTTAGCCATAGCCATTCACAATGTTTTGCTTAAACTTTTGCATCTAAAGATCTCAGAGTACCCTCGCTCTGTAACTATGAAAGAATAAAACCTTTCAGCTCCCTTTGGCAATACAAACCATTGCATTACAAACTGCTGTTTGGTTCCTTCAATTTCAGGAGTTGAACAAACTCTATCTTATTTTTTAATATATATTTATGTATATTAAGCATAACTACAACAACTTACTGCCACAGCAAATCAAAGGAAACCACATCCACATGCTGATTTCATGAACTGGATTGCAAACAAAACCTCTTCTGAACTTCTTGTAAATCACCGCTTTCATTCTTCATGCAAATCATCGTATTAAAATGATGACAGTTAAGGCCACTGCTCCTTTATGTGGCAAGGGCCCTTGAGTCTTGGCCTTACTGAAATCTGTATGAACCAACATGAAGGCTGGTATGAGACAGACCGGAGGTTTGCTCGCTAACAAGTTGTAGAAAGGAAAAAAAAAAAAAGATTATTTTTAAAGTAGCTTGTTGAAGCTCTTCTCTTAGCTTTGACTACCAAACCTGAAGCTGAACATCTGCACTTACTCATCTTTCGCAGGAAGGGTCTCTATTTGTATTGCTGAGAGACAACTCATGCTCCCTATTCCTTCCCCAACACATGCCCAATGAAGACCAAGCCAACTCCTGCCCAGGCTTGGCCATGTAAAACCTGTATCACCGCCAGACTTTTACCAACCTCATGTTTCCATAGACCAAACTTCCTTGGCCAGAGGTTACGATACTTGTGTGCAAATTAAGGGATTCGCCACCTTGAAGCAGCACAGCACGATGGTATCTGGGTCTTCAAGTTACCCTTCACACCCACCAGAGCTTAGAAATTGTTTGGTTGTTAAAGCTCCAAGACTAAGGAACGGTTGTTTTAAGAAAGATGACTCATGTGATGAACTTCACAGAAAAGCTTGGCACTTGGGGATACAAATCAGTGCTTAAATGTACACAGTCGGAATTCCTACTGAATTCTGAAATTCTTCAGAAAATCTCAAAAGGTTAAATAGTGGCTGCTGTCTTGGGCCTTCTTTTGCAACTGTAATGAGTCAAAAGCCACAGTAAGAAATAAAACAAGCAAAAGAGTTTACACCACAAAACCATAACAAATAAAAGGCAGAAAAAGTAAACCCAATAACTAAGTCTGAAGGTGTTATGGACACACAAGATAACATTCTGAACCTATGAAAGTTAATCTGTTCATTAGGGCATGTAGTGATAGGACCAGGGGCAATGGTTTTAAACTAGAAAAAGGGTAGATTTAGGTTGGATTTTAGGAAAAAGCTCTTCAATATGAGGGTGGTCGATCACTGGAACAGGTTGCCCAGAGAGGTGGTGGAGGCCCCATCCCTGGAGATATTCAAAGTCAGGCTTGATGGGGCTCTGAGCAACCTGATCTGGTAACAGTGTCCCGGCTGACTGCAGGGTTGGACTGGATGAGCTTTAAAGGTCCCTTCCAACCCAATACATTCTGTGATTCTACGAATGGAAATTTTGCTACTGATTTTAAAGGGGAAATTCTTTTACTTTCAACATTTAGTAACTAGTATTTATTACAATTTTCTACATTTCTGTTTTCACATCAGCTCGACTCTGGTGCAACTCTAATCTGAAATACATTAGAACTCACATCCACTATTTATTTCCCCAAAAGTGCAATTACAGAAATATTTAAGCAACTTAAAACCAGACACAAAGAAGCCCAGACTTTT